TTTTTTTTATATTAAAGTACTTAAACTTCCCAAGGCCAGTCTCCTCCAACCTAATGCCGTCCTGATGTGCTGAACGATGTTGTTTGAGGACTGTACTCTGGCATCTACATTATGAAAAGCTGTGGTTTGCTGAAATTCAATCATTTACCATAAGCAAGGTTCAAATAACACATTAAAATAATGCAGCAAAACAAAGTCTCTGATGTGTAACCTACACTGTTACTTCAGCTGGGGATTCAATGATTCTATGACTGAAATTCAGCTTTATTCATTACTTAATGCTATTTGGGTAATGTGGCCAAAGCAATTACATGACATTATCATTACTATTTTATTTTTACTCCCCTTCACAACAATTCCCAATATCATTGTCTTTTTTGCTAGTGAAGCAACTAGAGCTAAGTTTTCAGTGAATCACCCAGAATGATTCCCAAATCACAATTCAATATTATCATATTTGGCATTCTATTAACTATTTACAGAGTTGTTTGAAGTTTGCTTGACTACTGTAAGTCAGTATCACCCACAACTTTTAGTATCTCACTCCTTACTCCAATTTATTTATGAATAAGTGTACAATGGTCCCAATGTAGGCTCCTGGAGAAACATATTCTTTAGTAACTTTAGTTCTTTTTGAAATCTGCATGTTTTGAGTCTGTTCCTAATCCGCTGGACTGGCCCTCAATGCCAAAATAGCCTTACAGCTCAGGCAACTGTCCACTGATCACCTAGAGAACAGCAACTTATGGAAAAAATTATAAGATAACTCCTTGGGTGTCACGTTCCAGAAGATCAGGTATCAGAGGAAACAGCAATGTGCCACATGGGTTTTTTTGCTCCTCCCAAACTATCCTAAAGTGTAGTACCGTACATTATCTCATCAATACTGAAGAACAGTAACTGCTACTATAGCCGAAATGGGTTTTATGCATGAAATGAGAAGAGACACCATCATTCTATCTTGGTCCTTCTCTATAATTCATAGAATAATTTACAATTTTTTTTCTTTTTTCTTTATGAGAACTACATTTACTTGTAAGCCATGAGCAAGGATTTGTGTTTCAGATTTCTTAAAAATCTACTGATTAAGTATAAACCACATTTATGTGGGGAGATGGGCGGGGGAGAAATCCAATATTTTATTTTTATTATTATTTATTTCTCCCTACCATTAGAAAGCCCTAATCTATGGGTCGTGATTTATTATTCATTTTCTGATGAACATGACCATATTCCTTTGCTTGTCTTGACTTTGGCTTCTCCAAATGAAAGTATACCTTCCCAATCTGCTGATGACCCTGGCTGTGCTTAGGTTCCAACTTCAACACTTCTTTCCTTCTAGCCTCATTTTAATTTCCACTTGTCTGTTAGGAATGAGGTTTTAATATTATACAAGGGTTATCAAAAATATGCCAGCTAGACTATATTTCATCCTCTTGAAAGTAATTTTAGCTTTTATTCAATATTTCTTTTCATTTTATATTACTTCTTTCTACTAACTTCCACCTTTAGAAAGTTCCCATGCTTCTGTGTTTCCTCTTTCTTGTAAAATGCTGGGAATTAACTAGGTACAAAAGTGGAACTTCCAGTAATTTTGGCCCACAAGTTCTATTCATCAGAAAAAGAAATCACTTATGTTCAATACTAACCATCATTATTTTTAAATGACCACAAGCGTTGCTTACAGCATGAATACTTTGACGGAGAGGAGGAGACTGGAACTCAGGTATGCTGTTATTGGTACTTGTTCTATGAGCATTTGTTGCTGGATGGGCTATTGTTGAATACACAAGCAACCCTTTGAAACTTAGTCAAGGTTTGTTTCCTCTGATTTGAGGACCTGGATAGGAATTGTTTCAATGTGTATTATCTGTATGATTTTAGTTTGCAATTGTAGAGCCTAAGCCTTCAGCTTAAGTAATACTTTAAATTAGTTTTAATAAATTATTTGTATTGTACAGATAAGTTAATTGTATTGTTTGTGTGTCTTCCAAGGTAAGTATATCAACATTTAACAAATGTACATAACACTCACATCTATTTCCCGGGATTAGGGTTGGGTTACTGTCCCACTGAATTTGCTTTAATTCATGCAGACTGCTGATTCATTGGACTGCTATAATTTACTCTATGGTTGCAGTCCTGTATATATCCACTCAGCAAATAGCACTAAGCCCTTTGAACATTTCTGGACTTACTTTGGAATAAGTAATGAAAAGAACTCTGAAAGATGTAGAGTCAGAAACTAAGACTCAATCTAATTATTAAATTATAATTTAATCACTAGTCAAGAAGATTTTATAATCATAATTACTAGTCAAAGCATCTTCTTGTTAGGTATAATCTAACTATGTATTCAGTATTCAGCAAAATGTACATTATATTTTTAGAGTTACACCCCAATAAAGTATTATTCAGTCAAAATTTTAATATTAATTTTTATCAAAAATATAATGTTGATTGTAGTACCAAGCAAGCCGATAAACACTTGTAGTCATTAAGAGTTGAACCAAATCCAGTTCAATTCTTTAAAATATATTTTTGTAATGAAATGCTGGTGAACAACTATTATGTACTTATAATTATACTATTTAATTACCTCAAATTCTCTCTTTACTGTCTGTCTTTGCTTTTTCACTTTTAGAAAGAAGTCAGTTACCACATCTGTTAACTTATCTCTTATTTCAACATTAGCAAGGAAAATAGAATATAATTAGAAATTATATTTGTGATTATATATTTGAGCTATATCCATTTTTAACAAGTTGTTTAACAAAGCATTAAAATTGGCATTTTAAAAATATTTTTGAAATTATTATAATCCTTCCTGCTACTAATTGGCTATGCTAAGTACTGCAACCTTAGCAATAATCAATATTTTGCAATGCCAATGTTTATTTTAAAAATCAAAGCTTATTTATCTTTATTTCTTTCCTCTGAAGCAAGCCAAAATAAGTACAGTAATGCTTAGGTAAGCTAACTTATATCTTTCTTTCTTCAAATGTAAATATATAAAAACATTCTATCCTCTAAGAATATAAGTGCAATTATTCAAATTCGCCTCTTTATCCTTTTTGGCTCAATATTATCTTCAGAAAAAGTATGATGCACTAGAATGTTTCCTTGCTGCTCTCTTGTAGTACTGGTTTCTAATTACCATCATTTTATTTCCATCATTACATGCACGCTATTGGAACTGGAGGCCAATATACTTGAAAGTCAGTTTCTAGAACGGCTAGAAATATTAACATGGTATCAACATAGAACCTGCACAGAAGAATGAGTCAGATTAATGTACCAGAAGCATCTAGCCAGCTGGAATTGGGAGACAACCCTAGATAAGATGGCAAAACTGATGATCATCAGCACTTCTATCTTCTGTTAAATGTACCAAAAAGCTAGGGTTAACATCAAATAGAACTATCTCTTGTTTTGATATTATATCTCATAAAAAAAAGTCTGCTTCAAAAGATGAAATCTTTCATATGTAATATAAAGTACACACATCTAACTCTGGATACGATTTCCACTGAAAATAATTATTATTGTTTAAATGGCATACCTAAAGTTTTAGCATGAAAGAATCCATTAAATTTCCATTCTGCAGGATGGCACAGCACACAGCCACACAAATGCAATAGCATCATGATTATAAATAGAAAGTGCCACATACACAAGGGACCTTGCAATTAAGCATACACATGCCAGCTCCTCCCAATGCTGGTTTCAAAGATCAAAACTTCAGTCATCTGAATGATTACCAAAAGGGTGAAATGTAACAGAAGTATATACATTTTAGGTGGCAATTGAGTTAAAAACAGAAAATTATCACATCCTCCTGAAATCTTTATATAAAGAAAATAAGAAATAGTAATAGAGTTACAAAATACTGGACCAGAGGATTCATTTTACCACATCTTAGTTATGAAAACACAGCAGATGCATTAAAGGGTTCTCGGGCATCAAAGAAGAGAATCAGGGAAGGAAGACACTTAAACAAGGACAGCTTGTAGTTACTACTTCCAAAATAATGACCTCCAGCCCATTTTATCACTGGTTCAGAAGACTGCCACTTCTACAGTGCAAATTTGGTGGGAGGTATTGCAACAAAAACATTGGAGCAGGCTGATTCTAAACCAATTCACCGACGGAGCCCAGAGGTAATAATATTGTGAGAAGATAAAGGACCGTGATGTTAGAAGGTACATCACCCTTGTCCTACATCCCCAAAGGAACCTGGGGCCTATCCTAGTAGCAGCCGACTTGAGTCACTAGACAGTGACTCAAGCATCTAGCCAGCTGGAATTGGGAGACAGGTCAGGAAGTAGAGAACACGGGCTTCCCCCCCCCCCAGCTCTGACAAACCAGGCAACCGCTGTCAGCAAAGGAGCAGCAGGGAGCCCGGGCACCTGCCTCTTAGCCTGGAGCCCTGCCTTTGCTGTGCCAGCAGTGCAGAGACACGCCCTTTCAGAAGGAAACACGCTGACAACCGAACCACAAATAAGGAGTTGGCCACAGGGATTGTGCGCATGTGGAGGAGGACAGAAAAGGCAGGATCTGACACATGATGTGCCTCCAGGCTAAATGTACGCCAGGATTCACTACTGCATCCAATTTTAGCTGCTAGGGTAAAAATCCAGGGTCCTCCTCATCCTGCTATAAGGATTAAGAGGAGGGTTTCCCAATGCAGATGGACTAGCCCAGCCACTTAAATAACATTTACTCCCATAAAACAACTGACGCCGGTGTGTAAAATTACATAAACGCCTATGCAGAAACCGCTATTTTCAGCCAGTTTCGGGTTTTGACATACAGCTTTTCTCTCTCCAGAAATGGTCACCCGCCCCTCCCCGGGGGGACTCTGGAGGCCCCCTCTACCGCCACAACCTCTCTAACCGATGTTACGCTCCGCTGTCAGACAGGCTAGCTGCTTCTCGGGCCAAGAAGGGCGCTTTCCACGAGGACAACTCACCACGATCCCCGCCTCCTAGGAGAGGATGGGCACGGCGAAGCTCCTACCTGCGGCTCCTTCGGGTCTCTGAAAGAGCAGAGAGGATGGAGGAGGAAGCGCGCATGCGCTTAAGCTTCTCCCCGTCACCCCAAGCCGCTTCAGCCGCTCCTGAACGAAGAAAACAGTTCCCACTCTGGCTCCTCCCCATTTTGCCGCAGCCCCTTTAAATCCAATATGGCCGCCTCGGGGGGGGCAGGCCGCTTCCCAAAATGCACCCGGATAACTGTTTTTCCCTTTAAGGGGTGGAGATGAGGGGAGGGGGCGCGAAGCAGTTGATGATGTAACAAGCTAGTTCTGTTCTTTTCAACCTTGGCAACTTTAAGATGCATGGACTTCAACTCCCAGAATTCCCGAGTTGCCGAGGTTGAAAATCACTGAGGTAGACTTTGATTAATTGCTTATGTGCCATCAACTCATTGTCCACTCTTAGCGACCACATGGATAGACTTTGAAACCGTCTTTGATCAAGACTGGCAACGAGGTCTGGGATTCGGGTTATCGGCTCAGGGCTGTAAAAATCCATACGACTCGTAGAGAGTAGCAAAGCAAACTCGTAGAGAGTTTACTAAATCGCTTTGCTGCCATCTAGCGATCGCGTGGGCCTTTGCAGCCCACCTCCGGTAGCGCCCTGCTCCTGCCCTTAAAGTTGGTTCAAGGGGAAAGAGAATTGGCCGCTTACTTTTTTTTTAGGCATGAACTTTACTGCCAAAGGGGCCAGAGCGTTGCCTCGGCCAAGGATCATATTGTCGAGCGACCATCTGTCCTTCGTCCCTTTCGGATGGGCTACGATGTTTTTTAAATCGTAACAAATTAAGCGACGATGTTCCCGACATAGGAGATCGGAAAGTTTACTTCCGAAAATCCTGCCTGCCAAACACTTTTAAAGGCAGAGGAATTCCGGGCCGGATGTTTAAAAAAAATAATAATCCACGACTGCAGTCCTCTATGGTACACATCCAAGCAAATAAGCTCTAATAAACCGAATAGTTCTGGGTAGGTCGTCAGAAGATTACGTCGCAATTTTTCTTTCCCAAATAAACATATTTGAACAAGAAAAAAACAAATCCACTTTAAATCGAGATTCTACGCTTATTGGAAGTGCATTCTGCGCATATTTTCTTACGTATGCTGATAGTAAGAAAAGATAAAGCAGCTCTTCTCAAAATGGGACTTCAATTCCCATTATTCCGACTATTGCTCTCTCTGGCCAGGGATGATAAGAATAACGACCCAAGGACATCAGGGGACAAAGCCTGTGAAAGCCTGAATCCATCAGCTCCCCATCTATAAGTTCTACAGGAAAACCAGATAGGTAAGCAAAGCCCTGCGCGCCTTCACATCCTTCTTCCGGTCAGAGTGCGCATGCTCCCGTTTGGGGGGGGTTACGCAGAACGAGATTCGAGATGGCTGCGCCGTGAAGTGTGATTCGGGTAAGTGAAGGCGGATCGGGAGAAGTATTTTCTGTTTCTGAGAGCTTCATCGGGCTCGTAGACGTAATCGCTGTAAAGAAGTATTTTCCTGCCGGAAGGCTATTATTTCCGGAATATTCCTTCTGTAGCTAAAAAGAGACTGCTCTATAACATTTTCAAGTTACGACCCTGTCCTTGCCCGTCTCATTCCGTGCATGGTTTTAGGAGAGAGAGGGAAAATTAATGCAAGATCAGTGGGACTCACTCCTGAGCTCTTAAGATCAAAGACCTGTTAGTATAAGCAGAAACCACGTCTCCTGACATGGTTTCCTCCGACAGCTAGACATTCCTAAAAAAAGTGAGAAATATAGCAGCAAAATGCGTTTTTGTAAATAGACCGCTATCCCGTGCAAAGTTATTTAAGAATAAGCCCCGCTAAATAAAAAAGGCTTATTTCAAATCTTCTGCCTCTTAGAATAGAATGCAGTCCTTCCTCTGCAATTGTCCTGTACAGTAATCTGTCAGAAACAGAAATATTAGAAATATAAGAATTTTCCCCTGCTTATACATGCAATTCTTTGTGAGTGCGTTCATTAGCAATCCCATCTACATAGTTCCAGCTGCCTATGTGTTCTGTGTGAAACTAAGAAAAAAGGGGAAGATTCTGATAGAGCTGAATAAAGGTGGTCTGATCAGGTGAAGATCATGAATATGTGGAAGGAACTGAAGATGCAGATTTGCTTATGAATGAAAGAGTTAAAATGTATGTATTAACTCTGATGGTCATTCTTTTATTTCTTATTTCTGTCTGCAGCAGGGAGCAAGCTGTTATTCCTAATGGCAATATCAAACTTGATCCGGACCTTTGGTTCCCTGCTGCTGTCTTCAAGTCCTCATCTTTCACAGGTACCTTTACTTTGCTGTTTTGGCCAGATGGATTATAAATCATGCAGGATTCTTCATCTTCTAATGTGTTCTTCCAGGCAAATATCTCTTTCTGTCCAGTGTAACTCACACATGAGCTCAAGGCAGCCATATAAGCTAGTTTCAGTTTATGGAAAAAAGGTGGGGTGTAAACTTAGTACTATCCTTTTATTCTGCCTATATTCTCTCTGAGTAGAATTACTTAGTGGACTTTATACTCCCTTAATTATTTTTCTGCCATATAAAGGCCTAAATTAAGCTTGAACTTTCAAGGCACAGTCTTTCAGTTAGATCCATTTTTTAGAGATTCTATTTACCTAGCAGTGCATGCAAATTTTTGTAAACATTTGCAGATGCCTTTCCTCTTCTAATGTAAAATAAGTACCCCTGATTCAAACATATAAGTAGGGTGAACATTTTTAGTTTGAGTTAGTGGTTTCAATAATAAGATATCTATTTTGATCCCAGCATTTTTTAATTTTGGATGTCCCTGCTTATTATGTGCCATGAACTTTTAGAGGATGCAGCTTGACCCTGTGCTTTGCAGGAAACCTGCAAAAATGGCTTCATTTTTAACACATAACAACAAAATGTTGTAGAAACTTTGCTGCTAAATTGTCACTATATTTCAAGGTCTCATTTCTAACACATTAGACAACAGAAGGATCAAAACTTTTGGCCCATATTATATCCAGTTATGCACCTGCAATTTAAAATATTCCATTCATAATGTCCTGCTGCTTGCTTTTTCTGCCTTTCCTAGATCCCTGCATCTCCCAGGCCTCTTTATCTTGTTAGCCATCTCAGTGCATACCGTGAAATCAGTACTTCTACTGCTGTGTTTGCCAGAGATCCTCTGTGGAAATGCAGGACAAAGTATACCATTAAGCCCATTCCTAAAACAAAAACAGGAGGTCGAGATCACACAGGTACGTTTTGAACTGCATCCCTGTCCCAAAGGAGTGACTGGATTGTTGGGAGGAGGGAAAAGAGGGAGGACAGAAGATAGTTGTGCTGATGCAGATTATATGTAAAGCAGATTACGTATTGTATCAATTAAAAATTGTAATGTGTTAAAAATCCATTGTATTTGTTGAGACCTTTTGAGATACCCTGAAACCTTCTGTTGTATGTGAGTCTCTCAGCAATCTCTTGCATGATTGTGCTGGTGAAATTTCTTTTATCCAAAATGGCTACTTTGATATGTGTAATGGAGTGTCCTAGAAGATTGAAATGCTCTGATATTACTTTGTCCTTTTTTTGAGTCTTGATGCCTAACTATTATTTTGTGCAAAGTATGGCCTGTTTGTCCTACACTGAATCGAGAAGGGCATTGCTGGCAGATTATGGTATATTAGAAGAAAAGCATGTGAAGGGGTCTCTAATCGTATGTGTGAAGTTGTTAGGATTTGTGATGGTGCTGTTGGTGTAAATATGGGGGCAAAGTAGAAATCTGGGTTTGTTGGAGGGTCTTGTTCCCATGTTAGCATCACTGTTATGTTATTTCTTGTTCCATGTGAGAATCTGCTTCAGGTTGGGTGGTTATCTGTATGTAAGTATGGTCCTGTTATCCAGTGCCTGAGAAAATACAGTCTTATTGTGAAGTACTGGTTGTAGCTTATTAATAATGTGTGTGAGTGGCTTGAGCTGTAACCTGTCGGTGACAACCAATGGAATTCTGAGTGGGGTGGGGTTGTGGCCTGTTTTTAATAAATCCTCCCTGAGAATTGATCGAATTCTATTGAGTTGTCTATTGATCTCATTAGGTGGGTAGTTCAGTCTCCTGAATGCCTGGTTTAATTCTATCAGTTGAGCATCTCTGTCAAATGGGTCAGAACAAATGCAGTTGTAGTGTACAGTATGGCTATATAGTAGATGATAGATTTGGTGGTGTATTCTGGATTGAAGCTGAAAGCATATAGATATGCATGGTGATTTGTAAATGTCCTGTATAACATAGTGTTCATGTGTCCCTTGTATAGCTTTATTGTGATATCAAGGTAGTGGACTTGTTCTGTAGCTGATTTGAAGCTGAGGTTGATAGTGAAGAAGAAGTGTTGAGGTTATGATGCAATTTGGTGAAAGATTCTTTTCCATGGGTCCAAGTGATGAGAAGTTTGTTAATAAATCTCAAGTGAAGGAGGCGCTTCAGGGGGTAAGAATTGAGAAACCATTGTTCTAGGCCAGCCTTTAAAGATGTTGGCATACTATACAGCCATGTTTGTATGGCTGTGCCACTGATTTGCAGGTATATGTTAAGATGAAGTACAGTGGTACCTCGGGTTACGAACTTAATCTGTTCCGTGACTCTGGTCGCAACCCAAATTGGTCGCAACCCGAAGCAAATTTCCCCATAAGGTTCAATGTAAGTACAGTTAATCTGTTCGCCCTCCGAATTTGGTCGCAACCCGAAGCAAATTTCCCCATAAGGTTCAATGTAAATACAGTTAATCTGTTCTGCCCTCCGAATTTGGTCGCAACCCGAAGCAAATTTCCCCATAAGGTTCAATGTAAATACAGTTAATCTGTTCTGCCCTCCGAA